ACCTCCTGGGCTCAAGCAATCCTCCCACCACAGACTCCAGGGTAGCCTGGGACTACAGGTGTGCGCCACGAAGCCTGGCTAATTTTTTTTTGAGATGGGGTTTCATTGTCTTGTCTGGGCTGGTCTCAAACTCCTGGATTCAAGAGATCTGCCCACCTTCCAAAGTGCTGGGACTACAGGTGTGAGCCACCACGCCCCCCTAAACATGTAAGGTCTTTAAAGTCTACAGTTATTCATTGTATTATTCATCAGCAGGATTTTGTGGTAAATGTTTGAATCTATCCTGTGTTATTAAACCAGTGGTGTTAGTGTGTAAACTTATTTCAGTATCTATCTGATGATGGATACATTTGGTGGCTTACTGGCAATAAAGTTGTATTATTTTTTTTTAGCTTAGGAACTCTGAATGAGAAGAACTGGCCTTAACTGCTATTATCAAACACTTTTTAAATCTTTTAATTGCATTTGGAAATTAGTGTTTATGGTGGACTTGATAATGTTTTGTAATGAATTTAACCTAAAATTACAAAATAAAACAATGCTTATATGTGAAACATATACTGCAATAATGTCATTTTAACAACAACTAGTGTTTGAATTGCATGTAGTAGCAAGCTGCAATCGTTGTCATGCTTTCCAAAGTTGAAATGACATGACATCTCAAAGTTTTTCAAAGGTAAAATACATAAAACTCATTAGAGATCAGCATCAACAAGTCAACTTTTGCAGTTGACCTTGCAAATTTGATGGGCAACATTCACTTTCAATCTCAATTAGGTAAAACATTATTCCCATAGAAAAGAATTCCATTCTTCTCTGGAATCTGTGGTACAAACAGAAGAAAATTACCCAACTATTAAGTCTATATTTTGAACTTTGTTAGTAAAAGTTTTGTGGAAATTTGTTCTCTCTCTTGTTATACAAGTACCTATTTAATATCCTTGATACTGTGTCTTGGCCTGAAAATCCTAAAACAGTTACTATCTGCACACCTTTACAGAATAAGTTTGCTACCCTTGTTGTAGACTAGGAAAGCCTCTTCTAGAAGAGGAAAGATAAATGCCCTTTGTGGTATGATCAGATCGCTTTCTACTCCTCTTTCTCATTCATTTATCCCTTTCCTTGTCCAGTTATTGTAGATGAATAGAAAGGAAGAAAAAAATAAATTATCTTGTGATGAACAATTAGACAGTTCTAATGAAATTCCATGATGACATTTGGGCTGAGTCATAAACACAAATAGAAGTTGCCTGGGGAGAACTGGAGTAAGAGGAGAAAACGACATTTCAAGCAAAGGGGAAAAGGTGTGTAAAAACACAGCATAATGAAAAGACCTGGAAAACTACGGTGACAGGTTGTCAAACGACTCATATGCTAAGCTGGGGAGCTTGGGTTTCCTTTAGGAAAAGGGAGCCAAAAGAGGGTGTACTAAGAAAGAAAACTAACAGTGAGCCAGCATGTGGCAAAGCTGGTATGAAGACGTTCTATTAATGGCCTAAGGCTGTAACACTCACTGGTACCTCCTCCTTTTCTTGCCCATGGTTTATGCCAAGTATATAGTGCTAACCAGATGTTGACATATTAAAGATAACAGGTTAACACCCATGTGTCACAGTCTGCTCTCTGTGGCCACAAAAACTGAGTCTAATCTTTCTTCCACATAATACTCTGTGGTAGGCAGAATCCTAGGGAAATCTCTCTGATTCCTGACCCCTGGTGTTCACATCACATATGATTTCCTACCCTTGAGTGTGGGCATGATGAATGTCTTGCTTCTAGCCAACTGAATATGGCAAAGGTAAAGGACTGTTGCAGATGTAATTTAGGCCCCAAATCAGTCAGTTTTGAGTTCATCAAAATGGAGCTGAGGGCAGCCTCTAGCTAATAGCCTGCAAAAAACCAGGCACTCCATCATATAACTGAAAGGACATGAATTATGGTAGCAATATGAGTGGTCTTGAAAGTAGATTCTCCTCCCCAGTCATGCCTCCTGATAAGAGACTTGCTGAAACCTTGATTCCAGGCTTGTGGGACTCAGAACATACCAATGCTGTGCCTGGACTCCTGACCCACAGAAACTGTTCTCCAAACTACAAGCTGTTTTTAATTTGAATGATTTTACCACTACCTTTTTATTTTGCAGGACCTGTGACACCTTCCCTTCCTTTGTCTGCTTGGCAAACTCCACTCCCCTTTTAAGGTCACTTCTTCTCAGAGGTTGTGTCTAACTCTCTACCTTTCAAGCATAATAAAGGCCCTCTCATCTATTTTCCTAGAGATCTTGGTACCTTTTTATAACATCATCAACATTATATCACAGATACTCTTTATAGCAGACTGTATGCTCCATGAAGGTAGGAAAAATCATCTTTACAACATCAGTGCCTTGCTCAATGAATGGCCATAAAAGTTCAGTGAATGCTTAATAACTTGAAGTGAAAAGAGATTAACAATCATAGCAACTCAGAATGCACAGCAACTGAGAGGTTGCCTTGACCAATTCTCTAATTTTTCTGTTGCTTAGCTAAATATCTGTAGGATTTTTCCTTCTGATTTTAGAATATTAACAATTTCTCTCCCTTTTATAGAGTAGGAAAACGAGACTAGAGAAGTAGAGATTTATCTGTCTTTAAATAGCAGTGTTAAATTTGAAAAAAGGTATCAACTTTAGGCTTAACCCTATTATATTAAGGTTGTATAACACACTATTATGACAGGATTCAATAATGTATTAGGCATCTTCGAGTTTCATAGAATAACAGAATCAAATCTTTTTATGAAAACGTTCCACTCTGTAAAGAAATCTCAGTTTATCATATCAATCAAATGATGGACAATTTCAGACTTTACATATTGGGGTCTGGGGTAGGAATGAGATTCATGACATTTGTTAATATATATAGATTTTTTGACAACACAAGGTACATCATATGATGTTCTCCTTTTCTCAGTAAGACATGCAAATGAAAACCTATTTACCTTAAAGATTCAGATAATGGTGTTAAAGTGCCATCTCCCCTATCTACTACGCGAAAGAAATTCAACTGATCTCCTTCTCGGTATACCAAAAATGTAACTTGCTTGTTGCAGGAGGTCTTCTCCCAGACCTCATCTCGACTGGAATCCAAGTACTCTGCCATCTCCCTAAGTGGATCTTCTGTGGGAACTACAAATGGAAAAGTGATAAATAAGCCTTCAATTTGGATCAAGTTTTATGCATCTTGGTACAGTGACAGGATATAATGTACTGAATTTGAACAATAACCCTGTGCATATAATATAAACATGATATTCTTCAAATAAGTTTCTGATCTTTCTAGAGTTAATATAGCAATCCCTATGTTGTGTCAATAAGAAACAAAATGCATGATTATGTTGCTATGTTCAAAAACAGGGCTAAACTAAAACATGAGGTTTTTTTCCTATGCTATTAGAGTCTGTATTTTTTCCATATGCCACTAGAGTCTGTATATTTCCTGATTCTATGACATTTCTATCAATTTTTTCACTATATATACTTTCTGCTCCCTATATCTTCAAATATTGGTTCCAAAAATAATTAAAACCAACACAAATCCTACTTATTTTAAAGTACACGCACACACACACACAAACATATAATCAGGAGACATACCTAAGAAATTAGAAGTAAGCAGACCTATCTTTTTCTTTCTGGTTTTATATAAACGCTGATTCTTTGATCTGTTCCTTGACATGAATTCAAATAATTAAAAGTTCATAATAACTTAGAATGTGAGGGAGTCACTCAATGTACTAAAACTGTAACAGTTCCAGGAAAAAAAAAGTTCTCTTGTAAAGACATTCTCATCATACTGTAGAAACATTTGTTTTCTCCTAAAAGAGGCCATAATTTCCCAAGCTGCATAACTTTCATTTTATTTTTATTTTTTTACCTTCTGGCCATGAGTGACAGTCTTTCATTTATTTACTAACAGAATTGTGGTGCTCTACAACCTTTAAAAAGAAGTTGCAGCAATAGGAAAATATTGAACTTGGAAAGCAATAAGGTAAAAACATCAAAGATGTTTCCATAGCCTAAATTCAATTACATTATCACTAACATAAAAATCTTATAATATGATTTAGCTTACTTTATGAAAATAGTTATTTGGATGTTTTTGATTTACTTTCATAGGCCCAAAATGTATACATATTAAAAGACACTTTTCAAACAAGTTCTTGCCCTTTGTAAGTTAATGCTCCACTTTTCATATTACATTAAAAGATAAAAATTTGGATCACAGGGCAGATCTTTGGGAAAGAAAAATAACAAAACAAAACAAAAAAGAAAAAAAATTATGCCTCTTTTTTTATATATTGCTATAGTCATTACCACAGTCACATGAAAGCCTTTCTTAAACCAGCATAGGATGCCTTACTCAGGCAGGTGTACCTGTGTCTTCTCATAACAGAAAAATCGTTCAGATTTTATCAGCTATGAAATAATACATATGAAGTTTTATATGCATTGGACACAATGCAAAGGACAAAATTTAGTTTTAGAAAAGAGACTAATTTTAATCTTTCTATACTGCTTTGATAACAATTATTTCAAAAACAATTTTTACTTTTATTTTATTTTATTTTTTTTTGAGACAGAGTCTCACTCTATCGCCCAGGCTGGAGTGCAGTGGTACAATCTCCGCTCACTGCAACCTCTGTCTCCCAGGTTCAAGGAATTCTCATGCCTCAGCCTCCTGAGTAGCCTGCCACCATGCCCAGCTAATTTTTATATTTTTAGTAGCTATGGGGTTTCACCATGTTGGCCAAGCTGGTCTCAAACTCTTGGCCTCAAACCCAGCACCTATAATCCTAGCAACTCAAGATGCTGAGGCAGGAGATCGCTTGAACCCGGGTGGCAGAGGTTTCAATGAGCCAAGATCATGCCACTGCACTTCAGTCTGGGTGAAGGAGCAAGACTCCAACTCANAAAAAAAAAAAAAAAAAAAAGGAAAAGAAAAAATAATTTTTGTACTAATAGAAAAAGTAGATGCTCTGATTAAACACTTTGGTTTAAAGCTGTACTACACACAACCAACTTTCAAAAATATAATACATAGAATTCACATGACATTAAACACTATATAATTTTATCTTAACATAATGGCTCAGTAAACATAGGGTTCTTGTGCTATTCTCAGAGTTATTACTATAAATATCATCTATGTCACACAGGACAATTACATAAATCCAATTAATTAAAATACTCTGATATCAGGAGTGCTAAAAGGCTCTAATATTATTAACTTTTTTTCTCTAACCTATAAAAGGCAGTTCAATAGCCAAAGTAGCGTATCTCATTAAATCTTCTTGAGGTAGCTAAGAAAAAGATGGCAATAATCCTATTTTCTAATCAAAATTATGAAACATAGGGATATAATTTGACACGTGGAAGCACGCCAGGAATAGAATCAATACTTATCCTTTGGTTTTCTGGTTAGTGAAGGATCAAATAAATCTGAAGGTCTTCCTCAAAATGAGGTCCACAGAAGAGGACACTCTGACTAGTCCCCTTCACTTGATGGGAAATCATGTGACATAACTGAATCAGGGACCAATGTGAATACTGCTGGCTATTCTCGTGCTTATTAAAACCTTCACATCAATCAAGTCTCCACTAACGTCATCTTTTTCAAGGGCCTTTCCTACACTATTTTCTGCATAGCACTAGTAACCATGAGGGGAGTTTTATGGACTCTTTACACATTTATTGTAGGCAGTATCATGAAGCAGAGACTTTCTCTCCCATGTCTACTGCACTTGGAACATTGCATTTAGTAGATGTTCAATATGTATTTGTTGAATGAATGACTAGATTTCAGAACTATCTATATTCTGAGAACGGATGTAACAGGGCATGATAACATCCATGAAACCCAGACACAACACAAACCAGGTAAACAGGCAATGTTGGAATTTTGCAAAATAATCATAATATAAGGAATTGAAGACTTAGTAGATTTTAAAATAAACAAGACTCTTATGAAACTAAACAATGGTAACAGAATATTTATAGTATGTCATTCTATTTCTGTTTCCTATACTGGCAAAAGATTTATTTTTAAATCTCCCTGGATTGAATTGGGAATCTGAGATTTTTCTGAAATGTATTTTAGAGTTTCAGCCTCTACACATTTAGATTTTAAAGAACAATGCCTAGAGAATCAAATGTGATTTTTCTAAGACCTAATAGCAGAAAGGAAACCTAAATAAAACCTGAGGCTATAAAAATGCTAACTGACATAAAGAATGTCACTGTCACATTGCTTTTATATATATATATGCCTACCTTTTCTAGTATTTATAGGTCCACCACGCATAGCCAAAACCAGCTTCAAGGTACAACCTTCTGAAATGCTGTGGACAGTTAACACAAAAATAAATCATAATCATCAAAATACATTCAGTGTTAAATATATATATAATTATGTGCTGATTTATCAGGCAGAGTGCCTTCTCTCTAAAATATAAAAAGATACAGCAATGTAAATAAATACAAAATGTTCATGTATTTGCTGGTACAAATAATAAAAAAGTAAAACAAATTTTCATAAGCCATAAATATGATGTGAAATCCAAGAATAAACATACTGGAAAAGACCTCTGTGATTATGTGTTTTAGCCTGTTCATTTCACATGTAAGGAAAAGGAGGCCCAGAGACAAAAAGAGGCTTGCCCAAGACCCAAAGTGTAGAAAATAGCCAATCTATTTAGTAAAATAGAAAATAGAAAACTAACACTCCCAGTGCCCTTACAGCTATTCCGCATTGCCTCTTATCCTTCTGTCCTTTTCTTAAGAAAACAGTGATAAATTATGTGAAAGAGGGGAGAAATAAGAAAGACAAAGTGTCAGAAAGTATGCTGATACTCGCTGGTGCACAGAACATTGCTTAGTAACAAAATGAGGGCTTAAGGAGAGAGGAAAGACTTTGTGAAGAACAATTCTCTCTTACACAAAACTCGTAAAAACAGAAAGAAAAGGAACATGGCCAGGAGGGAATTGTTCAATATTCAAAGAAAGGAGCAAAGTAGGCAAGAAGATAATAGGAAGATTTCAAAAGGCAGAAGATAAACAGCCTGGCATGAAAAATGAAAAGGTAAAACAAATGTTATCAGAGGATGAAGGTTAATTAGTATAGGGTACCAAACTAATGCATCTAAAGTTCAGGGTGTATAATGAAATCTAGGAATCTGAACTACTCAGAAGAAAAAGAGACATGATCTAAGAGTTCAAAAGAAAAACTTTAGCATATGGAGTCATAATACTAAGTGCCTACAAAATAGCCAATATGCAATCACACTCACTTGTAATCATTCAAGCAATAATCATCTTCAAGTTCCATGTTATTCCAAATTAAGTGTTGTTGACAGATGGGAATACCTTAGGGGAAAGTTATTTTTAAAAAAGTGTTAAAGAATTCAATAGCATCTCCAAAAGAGTATGATACACAAATCTATTTCATTAATGAACTAAGAGTACTAATAAATTAAACATTCTTCTAAATTGAATGCTAGGTGCTTAGCTAAAATTTACAGAATCATAGGTAGAAGGCATGCCTAAAAGGAGACATAGTCCAATCCATTCACTTTAGAAAAGAACAAGATATTGCAGTAACTCCTGGTCCTAAAACAAGGTATAAGATTAGGGAGCCTTTTAAAGGGCAAGATATCATGCTCCTGCACAACAAAAGAAACTATCAACAGATTAAACAGAAGATCTACTGAAAGGGAGAACATAATCACAAACTATGCATCTGACAAAGGTCTGATATCTACAATCTATAAAGAACTTAAACAATTCAGCAAACAAAAAACAACCCCACAAAAAAAATGGGCAAAGGACATGAACAGACACTTCTCAAAAAAAAGATACATACGTGGCCAACAAATATATTTAAAAAGCTCAACATCACTAATCATTAGAGAAATGCAAATCAAAACCATGATGAAATACAAGCTCATACCAGTCAGAATGGCTATTACTAAAAAGTAAAAAATAACAGATGTTGGCAAGGTTAAGGAGAAAAGGGAACAATAGACACTGGTGGTGGGAATGCAAATTAGTTCAGCCATTGTGGAAAGCAATGTGTAGATTTTTCAAAGAGTTTAAAACAGAACTACCGTTCAACCCAGCAATCCCACTACTAGATATATACTCAAAAGAAAATAAATTGTTCTATCAAAAGACACATGCACTAGTATGTCTCATCACAGCACTATTCACAATAGCAAAGAGATGAAATCAATCTAGATGCCCCACAACAGTGGCCTGGACAAATAAAATGTGGTACATATATACCACAGAACCCTATGCAGCCATAAAAAGAATAAAATCATGTCCTTTGCAGCAACATAGATGCAGCTGGAGGCCATCATCCTAAGAGAACAAATGCAGGAACAGAAAACCAAATACTATGTGTTCTCAATTATAAGCAGGAGCTAAACATTGAGTGTACATGGACACAAGATGGGAACAACAGACACTGGGGACTACATGGAGAGGCAAGGGGACATGGGTTGAAAAACTACCTATCAACTATTATGCTCACATCCTGGGTGACAGGGTAATCCATACACCAAACTTCAGCGACACACAATTTACCATGTAACAAACCTGACCATGTACCCACTGAACCTAAAATAAAAGTTGAAAAAAAAAGACATTATCAATCAGGCCTGAAGAGTTTAACATTTAAAGGGCTAAAATGGAAATCAAAAGCAAGTAGGAGTAGCTATTCTTATATCAGATAAAACAGACTTTAAAGCAACAATATTAAAAAATAAAGACAAAGAAGGTCATTATAAAATGATAAAAGGATCAATCCAACAGGAAGATATCACAATCCTAAATATATATGCACCTAACTCTTAAGCTCCCAGATTCATAAGACAATTACTACTAGACCTAAGAAAAGAGAGACAGCAACATAATAGTAGTGGGGGACTTTAACACTCCACTGACAGCACTAGACAGGTCATTACGACAGAAAGGCAACAAAGAAACAATAGACTTAAACTACGCAATAGAACAAATGGACGTAACAGATATTTACAGAACATTCTACGGAAGAACCGCAGAATATACATTCTTCTCATTAGCATATGGAACATTCTCCAAGATAGATCATATGAGAGGCCACAAAAAAGTCTTTAAAAAATTTTAAAAATCAAAATTCCATCAAGTATCTTCTTAGACCACAGTGGAATAAAATTAGAAATCAACTCCAAAAGGGAACCCTCCAACTATACAAATACATGGAAATTAAACAATCTGCTACTGAATGATTTTTGGGTTAACAATGAAATCAAAATGGAAATTTAAAAATTCTTCCAAAGGAATAATAGTAACAAAAGTTATCTAAGCCTCTGGGATACAGCAAAAGCAGTGCTAAAGGAAAGTTTATAGTGCTAAATGCCTATATCAAAAAGTCTGAAAGATTACAAACTGACAATGTAACATCACACCTCAAGGAACTAGAGAAACAAGAACAAACTAAACCCACAGGTAGCAGAAGAAAATAAATAACAAGGATCAGAGCAGAAGTAAATCAAATTGAAACAAAAAATAGTAAAGATCAATAGACAAAAGGTTGGTTGTTTGAAAATATAAAAAAAAATCGATAGGCCATTAGCCAGATTAATCAAGAAAAGAAGACAGAAGATGCAAATAAACTCAATTAGAAATAAAAATGGAGACATTACAACTTATACCACAGAAATATAAAAGATCATTCAAGACTACTATAAACACCTTGGTGCACACAAACTAGAAAATCTAGATGGATATATTGCTAGATGGATAAATTCCTAGAAACATATAATCCTCCTACCTTAAATCAGGAAGAAATAGAAATCCTGAACAGACCAATAACAAGCAGTGAGAATGAATCAGTAATTTTAAAATTGCCAACAACAAAAAAAGCCCAGGGCCAGATGGATTCACAGCTGAATTCTACCAGACATTCAAAGAATTGGTACTAATCCCACAGAAACGATTCCAAAAGATTGAAAAAGAGGGAATCCACCCTAACTCATTCTATGTAGCCAGAATTACCCTGAATTTAGGAAATTACGCTGAAGCCAGGAAAAGTACATAACAAAAAATAAAACTACAGGCCATTATCTCTGATTAACACAAATGCAAAGCTTTCAATAAAATACCAGCAAATCAAATCTAATACACATCAAAAAAGTCATTCACCAAGATGAAGTAGTAATGGTTCAACATACATAAGTAAATAAATGTAATTCACCACATAAACAGAATTGGAAACAAAAATCATATAACTGCCTGGGCACAGTGGCTCACACCTGTAATCCCAGTACTTTGGGAGGTTGAGGTGGGCAGATGACCTGAGGTCAAGAGTTCGAGAGCAGCCTGGCCAACATTTTGAAACTAGGTCTCTACTAAAAACACAAAAATTAGCCAGGCAAGGTAGTGCATAATCCCAGCTACTTGGGAGGCTGAGGCAGGGAAATCGCTTTAACCTGGGAGGCAGAGGTTGTAGTGAGTAAGCAGAGATCATGCCACTACACTCCAGCCTGGGCAACAGAGTGAGACTCCGTCTCAAAAACAAAAAGAAGGCTGGACGCAGTGGCTCATGCCTGTAATCCCAGCACGTTGGGAGGCTGAGGTGGGCAGATCACCTGAGTTCAGGAGTTCGAAACCAGCCTGACCACCATGTAGAAACACTGTCTCTACAGAAATTAAAA